CCATGTTGTACAGAAAATTCATAAAACTCATGAAGTGAACCACGTAACTCCTAGCCAGAAATACGACCCCCCTCCCAACAACGACCAAATACGACCCCTTCATACGACCCCCCCCCTTTTTGGCGGCCAAATACGACCCCCCCCCCCATAGGGAATCCCCATCGAACGCTGTGCCCTGCTGGCGAAGGCGGGCGGTCCGACTGGCCCTCAGTTGGAATGCCGGGGACCCACTTCACACGCACTAGGAGGATCGCCCGCCGAAGGCGGGCGAGGACCTCCTTTATTGCCCTTGAATCTGTAGCGAACGTTTTGTCTGAAAAATGATAGAAATGCTCGATGTATTCGTGGGCTGCTAGCACGTGCTGTAATTTGTATACGTAACATTGGATGTTGTCTTGAGATGTTACCATAAGATCCAAGTTTTGACTTCGGGATCGAAGGATCATTGGACAAAACAATCAAAGTCGTCACAAATAACACAAGCCCGTGAAACTGAACTATGATTGAAAAATCGCGGAATTACGAGGGTTTTTTCCCGCGCACACTGTCTTGCGAACTGGAAGCACCTTCATACCTTCATAAATATTGCGAACTAATGCTCGGTCGTGACAGTGAAGCTCAGCTGCTAGTGAGCACGTCTCCCAGGCAAGTGGGTGGCAGGATCGAATTCCTGACGGCACGTGCTTTTTGATTTTTCGGAAACGTGGCTGAAAAGCTTCGAACAAGGCCAATAGATCAGCGCTCGCCCGTCTATGAAAGGAATTTGAGAGCAGTTCTTGTCAAGTAAGGCGCTCTGTGATCTACAGGAACGTTTGGGCGTTTTGTTACCCGTAGCGTACTCCAAACGCGTTTTCCTGTCAAACCAGTAAGGTACTCGTGGCTATGGCTAGACAGCCCTGGGAACAAAGTTCCGTCCAAGTTTGTGATTTTCACCTAACTTCGAAAAAGCGCAATCAATCATTAGTGAAATGGTAACCAGTTTGGTCCCACTCATGTTTTTTAGCTAAACCGATATCGAACGTAGTCTTGGAGGTAAACGTACTCTCTAACCAAGGTTCTAGAAAGAGAGCATCGTCTTCCTCATGCGTTGCATAATCCTTAAGACTTCATGACAGTATTTTCCTATATGATGTGCTTCTATCGGTCCAATTTCCATTCACGACTATCCAGTAGTGAGTGTGATTTTCTTTAGCTTCGCCCTGCCATATCGGATTATCTGTCTTCTGAAAACTTCACTTTCTCTGTTACTGGGAGCTAGTTCCATCCCAAGGCCAGTCACCGATCATAGGATAGGCCTAGGGCCACTGGTAGCCGCTCCGTTGTTCACACATAACTGACCACTGGATTTGCCTTTTTTTTTGAAGTTTGATCAGAATTTCAGACTTAGGTGGGGGGAAAAGGCTGAACAAATAATGCAGATGTACCAACAGATCAGTTTTCGAAGCAATATGAGTACTCAATCAAGTGCACGTTTATTCACATTTTGAAATGACAAATGCATTGAATATACACAACATAAAGAGATACAAGTTCAAGCTCACCAATACTGTATAAAAATCGTACTCGTAAATACCCTTTAAGATTCGACTGACAAATTCAGATCATTACATCGTCCTGGAGAATTTTCGCTGTTTTTTGACTCTAGATTGCTTACGTATTACTCCCGACCTTTTCGGTGCGTTTTCGAGAAGCATCATTGCCTGCACCTCAGACTGCATGCCCTGAATTCACTGTTTTGGGTGATATATCAGCCGTAAAGTGATCATGCGATTCACCATTATACTATTACGAGATTCTTTGAATGATTTTTATTGTCGACACTAAACGAGGAGATATACCCATTTTACTACCGTTGGTTCCGGTGACTCAATTCATACGCATACACATCATTTTCCTGGACAAATTCTTTACTTTATGGGTATCTAGTCAAGGGTTCATCTTCAGGGATACATTATCGCTGTAAGTGGTAGAGTATCTCAGGGAAGTGTCTCGTCCCTTCTAATTTGCACTTCTGCGCCTTGGACATTCTCGTAAATTGAAATTGAATTGAATCAAGACTCTGAAGTTCAAGATAATACGGAGTCAAAGTAAGCCCTGGGTACAGTGGTGAAGCAAATAGATAGAAAAGCAGTTCAAATAAAAAAATAATTGAAAAATTCCAGAGGGTGAGATAGATTCACCTTGTTGAAAAACAGCAGTGGCTCACTCTTTCTCGGTTTAAAACTGTTTTCTCCTCTACTCATTTTTATCCTTGGATAACGAGCGTCGGATGGGAGATCCAAGAGATCTGAAATTGTATGAAATAGCGACGCTGATTACACAGGAAGCGACTATTCTTATGCGTGGATCACCAGGAGCAACTTTCAGGGTTTTGGAGGAAAACCAAGTGCTAAACCCTTCTTTCTTGGAACATACTTGATTTTGTGGCGCTTCTAAACTTCACCGCCACTGCGGGCTGAGATCGCCGCTTAAAGGTGTCCGGTGGAGGTCTCTTCCCCGACGGAGCGGCTGAACGGAACTGGCTTCGTCCTGTCCAATGGTATCCTCTCGTCTGTAAAACTGACATTATCCCAACTTTCAGCTGATCCTGTGTAGACATTTTCAGCAACTATAAAAAAGTTTGTGTAAAATGTCCGCACAAAAACCCTGGTTTTTTTATTTCAGATTCTTTGTTCGCTGTATTAGAGATACACTGGCTATCCTTCATGATGAGCATGCAGGTGACGTTACCGTATGGGTCCCCTCAAGTGTAATAGCGAAGTGTTTACCATCACTCATGCTTATTCTGCTATATCTTAGCTTATTGATGAAGGGTGTAAAGCATCACTTTTCAGATGGGTGATTGCGCCCAAGTAAGGAGCGGGATGACGTACGCAGAATTCGTAACAGATCCCATTTTACTCAACTTAGCGGTGGCGGTACGACCCTCTCTCTCTGGCCTCTCAAGTCACTAGAGGTTACGTGACCACTAAAACTTGGTGGCGGTTCTAGCTCGAGAGGCCAGAGCGCAGGGAAGCAAAGAGCTGCAACGGTCAAGGCATAGAGAGGTACAAAAAGCATGCCGCGTGCCAGGAGATGGCTTCTTTTTAGAGGACACCGGAATAGATGAGCCACCTACTACGCGTAAAATATTGGAATGTGAAAGGTCAGAGCGGTCACAGGGCGCCATGTAGTCGTGAGAGCGCATAGAAGAACAGTTAAAGGAACTGAACTTAGTTGTTCGCAGCCGTCAATAGCAGCTTTCTCTGTCCGTCTAGCCAGCTAGCTTGGAATTACTCTGCTTTTGCGCGATGCCGCGACTGAGAAGTAGTTAACTCTCCACGTTCGCTAAGGCTAAGGAACCGCCTTCATCAGCGAACGTGGAGAGAACGTGGAAGAAGAACAATACACATAGCCTGCGCAAGAGTAGTCTACTGGGATACAAGGGATGCTACATACATAAGTGAGGACATAACACTTATCCAGTGACCTACAACGCCTGATAACACATTCGACACTATTCACAATACCAAATATTTTTGCTGAAGTCATGGCGCACTTTCAGAATCTTGGACAGATCATATTTATTTCGATAATTGTCATTATTCGCTAGGCAATGGCTGGGTCTCCTTCTTTCCGTCTCCCTCAGGTAGCCACCAGTAGTTGGGTAAGTGTTGGACCCCTAGTGGTCCACCTACTTGGCTCACTGCTAGCAAGCGAATCTCCAAGGAAACTTTGCAAATAGATAGTCATCACTCCTTCTGTGGCAACAGTGTGACGTCGCAGAGTTGGCGTCAGCTCCCGGCTGTTCAACGTCTGCGTAGTCCGCTTCATGGAGGTACAGGTTGGAGGACAATCGTGGAAGCGCAGCAAAAAGAGGTCGATGGAACAATTATACCGAAACCACTGCACTAGACTATACCGTCATCCCAAAGCCTGCAGCAGTCATCATTTACTTTTAGATCGAGGAATAGTACGTTAGAGAGGAACATTGCGTTCGTTACCTTGGCTCGAGTGGCCATCTGTGAGTCTCGTTTGCTTGTTTCGATACCGATAGCTGTGGTAGAAGCTGCTATGATAGTTGTCAGTTGTGGATGCGTAGAAGGAAGGAGCACAGCTGATGCTAATGTGGTTGAGCTTTCCTCTTCAGACGAAACGGACTCCGGCGCCATTATTTTCACAGCAGGAAAAGTTGGTGTTGCTAGGAATTCACTTGAGGAACTAGATGTCCTAGCTTCCACAGACGTCGTAGACAGATTCGTGGAGTCTCCATCATCTATCACGGACGACGAGGTTATCAAATCTTCTTCGATGGTGGCGGTAGCGGGTGTTGTTGAAGTGCTTGTCGATGTTGATGGAGGAACGGAGTTGCTTTCCACGGAGGATACATTTTTGGTCTGAAATGCGCACATTCACAAAAACCTGTAAAGATGAAAACGCTGATTTTATTGAGTGAACTAGACAATCCTAATAAATATAGAGCTGCGGTTGTCAAGCCCTGTTTGCTTGGACGACAGAAAACAGAAGCATGAAAATGAAGCGTATGTTCGAAGTACCTAATGTTTTTTTTTCTCAAACTTAGTCTTTATCTTTAGGCACACAATTGTGGTCCACTTTGTGCAGAATCATGAGTGGTCACGAAGATTCCTTGCGAACACATGGTACGCTCACACACTTTGAGGGTGTATGTGACTATCAGCCCCCCAGCTGTCGATGTGTCGTGGTTTCCCCGCCCGAAACTGCACGGGGTTAGAGTACAGGGCCGTGGGAAAGTCTAATTCGTCCATGCTCCGCCTACCGTTTATGCTAACAGCCGTTCCGCGCGGCGCGTGTCGCGCGCAGCTCTCTTGGCTTTTTGCCAAGTCCTGTAATTGCGCTTTGGAATACAAGACGCAATTTCCTATGCGGATAACATTTTAGGTGCTGCAAAATAAGAACCGAAGATGATGACGAGGGCTAGAACTCAAGAGCAACTGTGCTGCTTCTACATCGTTCAGAGGCCGCGCATTCCCACAGAACATGACAATAAAACGGCCTAAGCGTTCCACTCGTTAGTTTAATACAAGCAAAACGCAATTTCCTGATGCGGATAACATTTGAGGTGTTGCTCATGCTTCAAAGAACGCAAATCAATTAAAATCGCGCGTGAATTTCTGCGATCCGGCGCGAATTTGGCTCCAAAGCCATAGAAATACTTTAAACTAACGAGTGGGAGCTTATGGTTAGGCCGTTTTTATTTTCATGTTTTGTGGGAATGCGCGGCCTCCGAGGGATAATGCACCATCTTGAGTTCTGGCCCTCGTCATCATCTTCGGTTCTTATTTTGCAGCACCTAAAATGTTATCCGCATCAGGAAATTGCGTTTTACTTGTATTCCAGAGCGCAATTACAGGACTTGGCAAAAAGCCAAGAGCGCGACACGCACCGCGCGGACGGCTGTTAGCATAAAGGGAGTCTGCGCCGCAAGTTGCATTTTGGGCGGAGCATGGACGAATTAGACTTTCCCACGGCCCTGTACTCTAACCCCGTGCAGTTTCGGGCGGGGAAACCACGACACATCGACAGCTGGGGGGCTGATAGTCACATACACCCTCAATGTGTGTGAGCGTACCATGTGTCTTTAAGCGATAGCGTGGGAAATCATCATCGACTCTCACCTTGGGAAGTTTGATGTGCGCTTGGGCGTTTCATCGCATGAAGGGAAAGTCCTACGAGGATTATCTTCAGATAGCGCAGTGCATGTAATGTCGGGGAAGAAAATCATCTATGTCTAGTGCTCATTCAAAGGCAGTTGGCACGATAAATCCCCCAAGACGAGTAGGATTAATACGCCTGGCAGGACGGAATTCCGCGACCCTGAGCAGGCGCTGCATAATGCCTTTTCCAAGGGAGGTGCCCTTATAAGGGCCCTATCAAGCCACAACATTCCGACCCAAACGCCCGCCCGCCCACAAATGGACGACCGTTCCTGACGCTCGTATTCATTCATTTGCTAAGCAAATTATGAAGCGAAGGGATTGGTATGAAGCGGCCGTGATGCTGCATGCATATATGGGTACACATATGCAGCCGTATCTTCGGTAGCGGTGATTGGTAAGATGCCTACGGGAAACTCGTCCGAAATCGATTTACAAGTCACTGAGAACGGAGGCTTTTTCTTCGCAGGATTTTGACCGTTTCACTCCGTTCTTTCGCCATTTCCCCCTACTATAGCGCCCTACTAACATTTTAGGCCGCACTATATAGCACCCTATTAACATTTTAGGCCGAGTAGGAAACCATCGTGCCAACTGCCTTTAAAGGCAACGCCCGCGTTCAAATTTGATGAGTATGCGACCCAGGTAGTAATAGCAAGGTAGCAAGAGGCCTATTAATGAACCAGTTTGGCTGGCGCACAGTACTGCGCGCCTGACTTGAGAAAGCAGTGCAAAGAGATTTTATTACAAAAAAATCGGTGTTAATGCCCTCATCGACATCTTATCATCCTTTGTCACTGATATGGCTCTCCGTTGCACATTATCAACATATGAACGTATCAACATTCCTAACCATATCATCAATTTGTGGATATCCTATTGATTTTGAATCCCGCAGGTCTGATACGTGGTGGAAATAAGTCACTCGACAGGTTCCAAGAAATTTTGGCGGTTGTTCGAGTAGTGGAGCTTACAGCTATTCTCATTTCTACACTTAATCTTCTTACTGGCTCTTCAATGATTACTTCCTGCCACACACTGTTTGCTTGAGAGTCCCTCCACTCCGCACAACATATAGAACTACACACATAACACTATAACATATAGAAAACATACTGCACTATATAGAACTGCATTCGCACTGACTGGAAGGCGCGCAGAATCCGGTGAGAATTCCGATGCTCCGTATCAGCATTTTCACTTCTTATTTTCTTTCAGTTTTTACCATTCATATCCAGGTTTCAGACCATGTATTATGCATAGAATTGTGCACTGCATTATTAACAGGAATATAGTATTAGTATTGAGAACTTTTATGACCTTTTTCTCTGAATCCCTCGTAGTAGCTCTAAATTCATACCCTTACCTACTATCCATCGCCATTCTCCTTGTCCCTTCTTCCGTATCCTTTTTAGAACTAATGTCCACGTGTTACTGGAAACGACCAAACAACTGGATGACTTTTGCACTTTAGCGCCTCTTATCAGCCCTTATCAGCTGTTATCACTGCCTGCCACCCACCAATAATGTTCCCATCCTGCCCCTATCTTATTGCTTGGATCCAACGTCCGGTCGTTGCTCTGGCCGGTGTTATGAATTAGGTAATCCACTCCTTCTAAGGCTCCTCGTGGTATCTTATCAGCTGTTATCACTTCCTGCCACCCACCAATAATGTTCCCATCCTGCCCCTATCTTATTGCTTGGATCCAACGTCCGGTCGTTGCTCTGGCCGGTGTTATGAATTAGGTAATCCACTCCTTCTAAGGCTCCTCGTGGTATCTTATCAGCTGTTATCACTTCCTGCCACCCACCATTAATGTTCCCATCCTGCCTCCTATCTTACTTCTTGGAACCAACGTCCCATCGTTGCTGTAACGCGCGTTATGAAGTTGATGCCCCTCCCTTTCTAAGGCCCCTCATGGTATCTTATCAACTGTTATCTCTTCCTGCCACCCACCAATAATGTTCCTGCCCCACCCCCTACATTACTTATCAATTTGAGCGCTTTATCGCTGTTTTGAAGAAAGTTATGAATTTCCGGTCAAACACACATACAGACAAACATTCACACACACACCAACAGACACACTTAGCGGATTATATATAGTAGGATAAGAATCAAGAGAGCATGCAGAATGCCCTGTAAGGATTTTCATACCGAATAGCGGTTGTACTTGCTTAAAGACAGTATCCGCGCTCGAGAGGCCTTCAAAATGACTTTTTCCGCGCTTCTGGACCCTCTGCGCCTTGATGAAGATGATCCCACTTTTATCCATCAATGGCGCGCGATGAGGAAGTTATCGCAATTTCGACAAGGCTCGCTAGGCTCACGGAGACGGTAGGTGGACGAGGCGTCTGGTCCCGAACTGCATCCGTCCCTTTAAAGCCCGCGCGTCCCTTTAAGCCCGCGGTCCCACTGGCATTTTGCCAAAGTTGGCTCATAGCTCAGCTAAAGGTCTTACTTCGGTCAGGCTTGTAAACATGTGTGAAAGTGCGGAACCATTAGTTTTTTTTGCTTATGGAATGTAGTGCTTGCTTTTCCAATGGTAGGGAGATTTGTTGTCAAGTGGGGTTTGTTGTCATTTCGCTTTCTTGGTGACGACAAGATGACTTCGAGTGGGGATTATCGCATTAATTCTTTTTTTTCTTTCTTTCTTTTTCTTTTCTTTAATTCCCGCGGCATCAATCCAATCTCGAAGGCGCTCGCCGACCGGTGGCTGGAAGCGCAAATTCCTGAAAAAGCATACATAGAAAAAGAAAGAGGAAAGGAACAAGAAGGCAGAGAAGAAGGAATGAAGAAAAGGCGGCGAGGGATGAGTATTACGTTCGAAAGTATCCTATTTCGAAAGTTGGGACGCAATTGCGGCTGCCGCATCGAATTCTGGCAGCCACGCCCGGCACACTCGTCCAGGCCCGCCCCCACTGCTAAAGGTAGGTTTGGGTTCAAGGTGTTCCCGAAGATTTTTCTGCTTCTTTTTCTACTGAGAAGCTAACTATGGAATACTGGTGCATGACAGAGTACAATTGCCCGCAATACTTGATCGCGATAATTGTCTTTAAGGCGAAGAGAAGGAGTGGTTGCACGAGTTCTCACTTGTTGATTTCAGCTGTTTCCCCTTATCACCTCACTCTCACCACACGACGTGGAGAGAAGCAGCAATGGAACAACCGCACCATCAGGCAACCATTAGAAATGAAGTTGGGCGTCGTGGTCGCCAGGTGGGCGGGGCGGTCGACTCTTTACTAGCGATAGGCGCTATCCTCTCGCCTTTGTGAGATGCAAAACTAGTACATACTGCATCCTTATGGGGAGGGCTATGATACCCAGAAAGGGCGTAGGAACATCAAGTGAATGTGAACGCTGCCTTCAAGCAAGCGCTTCTACTGGAGGATATGAACGAGTCTTTCTCCTACTTAAAATATTGTACGACGTTTCCATATTGGATACTCTTATTACGTAGTAGTTTACAACCCACACATCACCAAGGGTGAATGCTAAAGATCGATGAGGGCAGTGGTATACTGTTTCCATTGATGCATTATTAGGCATTTCGTTCAAGAAAACGTACTCATAAGATTGAAAATGATGCAAGAGAACTTTTTTCGGATTGACCGGTAAGGACGCATGCTGGTGTATTGACCCAAATCAGTCATACGCAAAATTGAATGGATCCGCTAAATTCAAAAAAAACCAACCATAACTGTGACTTTTTTAG